TGGTCCACAGTCTTCTTCTCAGGCAAGCCCGAAAAGTGGTGACGGAAATGGAAATGGAGGGGGTGGTGGTGGTGGTTGCGTGGGTAGTGGTTGTGGGGGGGGGGGGGTGGTGGTGGTGGTGATCATAGTTGGGCGGGGGGGGGGGGGGGGGGGGTTCTAAGCGAGGAAAAGATGGGGGGGGGGGGGGGGGGGTTCTAGCAAAGGAAAAATTGGTGGGGGGGGGGGGGGGTGTGGTTCTAGTGAAGAAAGAAAAAGATGTGCGAGCAGGGGGGGAGGGGGGGGGGGGGGGGGGGGGGGGGGTGGTGGGAGGTGGCGGGGGTTTTGGGGTTGGGGTTAGACATTGAGGTGAGTCAAAAGGTAAGAAGGGGGGGGGGGGTGGTGGTGGTGACTGGAAGCAACGCAGCGAGAGGGGGGGGGGGGGGGTGGTGGTGCTGACGCCTGACCTTCGTGGTGATCACGCCTGAAAAACAGGAACTCTCGTTTAACGGCAGATGGTGCATAATGTCCCGGGTCGTGGTGGCAGATTTGACATTCAATGTTTTGAGTCCATGACAGGATGGCAAACCATTCTCGGAAAGCCCTGGACCGAGGATGGTGGGCCGTGTCGGATGTGAAGGTGAAAGATGATCCAGTTGCGATGGAAGTTGATGCTCTGAAGAGGGCAAACAAGTTGAATGCAGAGGTTGAGAGGGATAAGGTTTCACCAGGTGAGAAAGCTTGTGAAGTTGAGCGGGACCTCGACGACAAGGAATGCCCCTGCCACCGCGGAGTGGGGTCGGCGGAGACTCAGAAGAAGGAAACACAGCAGTGTCGCTCTGCTCTTCTCATCCGCCCGGTCTCGGAAACGTCGGCGGTGAAAAAGGAAACGAGGTCTGAGGTTCGAACTAACAAGTTTCGGGGAATCTCGGACGGACCACTTTCGTATCTCGTCCGAAGCGTGTGTAGCGCCATGGACAGCGATCCTGGAGTGGTGGAAGCCCAGAGTGAGGCCACGACGATCGATCGAGGTCAGGCGGAGAGTCCCTCGCAAACGTTGCGCGGTCTAGGAAAAGGCAAACAGGTGAATAAGAGCCAAGTGAAGCCGAAGAGTCAAGTGAAGCAATTGGTTACTGATGAACCCTTGAAGGATTTTTTGAGAGGCGAAGGAAACAAGGTTTCAGATGAGGGTGCAGGACTTGAGGCGAAAGGCTGAGAAAGGTAAAGGTGTTGGGACACCCTTGGAGGGTGTGGTAGGATCAGGTGAATGTTTCCAATTTGTGTCTGTGCTGAGGTCAGGACGTGCGGTGAGCGCAGAGTGCCTGCAATTGCCTGAGCACGAGACAGGTTCAAGGGTTAGGTCAGGTAGTGTGAGAGTACATGAGGCAGGTTCACATGTGAGGTCAGTCAGCATGAGTCAAATTAGGAAGGTAGGCCAAAGGTCTCCAGGAAGCGACCTCGTCCTGCTTGCGAAGAATCCGAGAGCTAACGTGCTCAGGGAGCCCCGTGCCTGCGCTATAGCGACCCCTCGATTTGCGGTTTGGCAATTTGCCCCGTAGCAGCTTTTGTTTCGCAAGGCGAGCCCCTTTTTGGAACCCTCAGTCGTTCGGTCGGTCGTCGTCGTCGGTCGTCGTCGTCGTCGTCCTCGTCGTCGGTCGTCGTTCGTCGTCGGTCGTCGTTTGGTTGGTCGTCGTCGGTCGGTCGGTCGGTCGGTCGGTCGGTCGGTCGGTCGGTGTCGTCGTTGTCGTCGTCGTCGTCGTCGTCGTCGTCGTCGTCGCGTTGTCGTCGTCGTCGCCGTCGTCGGCGTCGCGGTCGTCGTTGTTCGGTCGGTCGTTGTCGGTCGCGTTGTCGTCGTCGCCGTCGTCTGCGTCGCGGTCGTCGTCGTTCGGTCGCTCGTCGTTGGTCGATCGTCGTCGTCGTCGTCGTCGTCGCCGTCGTCGGCGTCGCGGTCGTCGTCGGTCGTTGGTCGGTCGTCGGCCGGGGGAACCCTTTTTTCCTCTGTTTTTTTAGCTCGCCTTGCAGAAACGCAGCTACGGCAGGCACGAGGCTCCTTGCAGCACTTTAGCTTTCGGATTCTTCGCAGGACAAGGTCGTTTCCTGGACGGACGAGTGTCAGAACCCCCTCAGCTGCATCAAAACCCGTTTGGAGAATCCCCTCTTACACAGAGGGACCAAGGTTTGCAACCCCACGTGCCTTTTTTCGCGCCAAACGCGATTGGAGTGGAGTGGATTTGCCGGCGTGCAAAGCAACCAAAAGAACGCAGAGTGGAAGGACCAGGTGCGCAACACAGCCCGCAGAAAAAGTTTAAACTCGGTTTCAAAAAATTGCAAAAAACAAATTCGGGGTTGCTTTTGTTTGGGGTTTCCAACAGGTTTTCAAAGGGTCATTTCATGCCGTGGTCTGGGTTTCCTGCCCAGGGGTCTGGGCCATTTGCGCCATGTGTGGCTTCAATTATTATAGGGGTCTTGCAAACTGCGTTTTCAAGGCACGTGACGTGAGCCTTAAAGCTAAACCAATGCAGTTGGCTTATGGACAGGCGTCAGCCTCCGGAGCTGCAGAATACTGGCTGAAAATCAAGATTTGGGTTTGGGGCTTGGTCAGAGCCTTTGGAGGATTGTAAAGGGCTTTTAAAAAAGGACTTAGAGTTTGGGACTTGGAGGGGCTGGTGCTCGTGTTTGAGGTTTCCAACAGGTTTTTCAAAGGGCTCCAAAGCAGGTTCCGTGGGTTTCTCATGGTATTTCCATGGGTTCGTGAAGCTGTTGTTTCTGTGAAGGTTTTTTCAAGACTTTTCCAGAGTCTTTCCCTTTTCTTTAGAAAAACCAGACCCAGAGTTACCCAAATCACGCTTCATTTCGCTTTACTGGATTTTTACAGTTCCACCTGGCCAGAGCGGGAGCTGCAAAAAGCCTACAGGCCGAGGAATTTGCTTATTTTGGGGGGATGTTGCCGGTTTCTAGCAGGTTTGACGGGAGTTGGACCTGTTTTCAAAGGGGCTTTGACAGGTTTCTAGACGTGAGTTTGACAGTTTCTGCGGTTTTTAGGGGGTATGATTGGTTTTTAAAGGGGAGTTTAACAGGTTTTAACGGGAATTTGGCCGGTTTCTAGGTCTGTTTGACGGGAGTTGGACCTTCAAAAACCTGCCCAGTGCTAATCCGTAGAAACTGGTCAAATGCGCTTTTGGAAGCCGGTCAACTTCCCAGCCAGTTCGGGTCAAATCCCGCCAAAAACCGGCCAACTCCTCTCCAAGCTGGATTTGTGGGTTGGATCTCTGACCTCCGAGCCTTACCTCAAACCACCCCGGACCACTTTGCAGGTGGAACCCTGGTAGAACGCTCGTAAAACCTTGCCTCAACCACGGACGACCCCGCAGCCCTCGCCAAACCTGGTAGAACCCTGGTGGAACCCTGGTGGAAAATTCGTGGAACTTCACCTCAAACAACTGAGCAGGGATTTTGGCCGCAAGAGGTTCTGAAGGGGTCTGAGCGCTTCCCGGTTCTGACTGAGGGCCGAGGCGAATTCTATTTTTTTCTTGTTGGTTCGTTTGTGCGTGTTTAATTCCGCCTGAAACCCTGTTTCAAGCCCTTTCGCAAATAAGAGTGATGATGATGATGATGATGATGATGATGATGATGATGATGATGATGATGATGATGATGATGATGATGATGATGATGATGATGATGATGATGATGTTTTTCGGGAGGTAGTCTCAACGACTACCATGCGGACATGTTAAACCAACGCCAGCGGGTTTAGTTTTGGCCTTTGAAAAGAGCGTTGATTAGGTTGGAAAACCGCACTGTTTGACACCATTAGCATCTGTGTCATCCAGGTTAAATCAGACCATTTACACGTGTCTTGTTTTCTTGCAAGTGAATTGCTTCAAGCTGACGGGCAGTTTAGATTGGCATTGAGCCTTGCCAACGGTGTTGTGGATGGCGGTGTTTGCACTGCGTCTTGTTTGCAAAAACAACGGGTTGCATGTGGTGAATGGTTGTTTGGTTTGAGTTGACCGTGGGCGAAGCGTGTTGGCGGTTCACGGCTGAAAAAGGGCATTGCTGAATTGCATGGCGAAATGTGGACATTTTTTGTGATGCCGTTGCCGGTACAGCATGCAATCTGAGCAGATGGGACTTGACGCTTTGTTTTAGCACGCCCTCTGCATAAACTTCCTTGTTTACTGCCAGAACAAGAAATCTGATGGCTACATCCAAGTGAAAACAGGAATTTATATCAGCAATGGATGGACTGACACCGCTGCAATGTAGCCATGTGCCTGACCGTCCTCGCTTCAAGGCGCAAGCAAAACTATGCAGAACTGACTGCTCCATGTCCCGTTTGTGTAGAAAGCTGCAAGCCTCGTGAAAGTAAACCGAATTGGTTCGGATTTGTTGACTTCCCTTTGAAACAGCAGAAATGGTCGGCCAAGCAAGCCCGCAAGTCGCATTTTGATACTGATTGAAGAAACAAGGACATTTAACATGGGAGGCATTTGTTTGATTCTTCCCTGGACCGAGCAACTTTGGCAAACATTTGTCTTCCGGCAGCCGATTTGCAGGTGGGATCTTGATGGATCTGCAGGATGAGACCGGAACCCCGGCTGTTTCATTTGTATTGCAATAATACAATGAATTGTTAGATGGGGTTGAAGAAGGGCTGCCTACACGCAGTACGCAAGATATGGATGCCATGCACTTTGCTGAAGCTGGAACGTGCGAAGCAGCCACTTTGTTACTGCAATCCCGAAACCAGCACAACTACCCTCAACGGTTTTTGTGTCCATCGTTTCTTTGGAAGGTTTCAAATCAAACCTAAGATCCCTGGCCATGAGGCGCCCAGTCCTGCGCGGCCTCTTTGCTCAGAGCTCCGATGAGGCAACTGAGCCGACAAGGTTTGCCATGGGTGTTTCGCCATTTCAGATGGAGCTTTCTTTTGTTGCGTTATTTGTGTGGCTTTTAACCAGCAAACTTCTTTGCATTTTTTCCCCTTTCAGTTGCACAAACACTGCCGTTGCGGTCGTGAGGAATCCTCTGAAGAGCAGGATGAAGATGAGGACCAGCTTCCGCAACTTTGCATACTCGTCAGAGATGTTACCAAATCGGTTGGATTGCATGCCCAGGAGGAAAGCGACGAGATATCTCAGGAGCACGCACACGCTTCCCTGTCTCACAGCTGCCCCCTCGGCAGAACCTCAAAGATGACATGTCTCTTGAAAGTTTGGGTTTGCTCCAGCCGCCGCATATATCAAGCTGCTAGCCCCGATCTCTGCCAGGAGCAGGCGGAGGCAACGGAGGCGTCCCCTGCGTCCCCGCGGAAGGCGTCCTGGATAAATCCCATTTGCTGTCCCGAACTCTTCGAACTTCGCAACTTAGCCGATGGATTTTGATGTGCGGCTTCCAAGTGTAAAGGCAGGACCTCTACTTGCTTCCAAGTGGGACGAAAATGGGAAATCAGGCAGTACTTGCACGGGTGGATTTTCTCGCATGGGAACAGGGTCCTCGCATTGGGATCAATTTATCTCATGCATGTCAGAGTTGACGCTGGGGCTTGAATTCTGAGTGATCTTGGTTTTTCCACCTAAAACTCTGACAATTGGGCGTGAGGGTGAGGGAAGCATGGAACATGCGTGACCTTAGCAGGTTCGTGCTCGCGAGTGGGCCTTCGAAGACAATTGGGATGTGGAGGGGCTCGAACCTCAGGTTAGAAAAGACCGCTGGACTATGGTCAGACAAAACCAATTATTTGACACTCAGAGATGGCCGGTTTTTGATCTGGAGTGCCAAGGTTTGCAGCTGAAGTACCCGAGCCGGCGTTGGATTTCCCCTTCGAGCTGGATCCGTGGACCTGTGCAATCTTGGAGCTGAGTGATTGCCGGCTATGAAAGGAGCATGTACCATTGATCTCAACGGCTGGCTCTTGCAGGTTTCCACAATTTGGGCTGGTTGGCTGCTAGCACGGAGCTCGCACACAATGATGATTCTGCCAGGTTCCAGAAGAGGGCTGTTCGAAGGGTGGAAAGGAGCGAGCATGGAACTCAGCGGTGAATCTTAGGCTCAGTGAAGAGAGGGTTCACATGCGAGGCACGTTATGGTGGCAGCTCACACCTCCGCTGGCAAAACGGTGCCAGGGTTTCAAGTCAGCTTGATCTCAACGGACTAGATCAATTGTTTGTTTCTTTGGTTTGGAACCTGGGCCGCTTGACAGGTGGTCGCAGAGTACGCCGTGGCCCATGCGCTGCGGCGAGGAATGCGGACCATCTACACGTCCCCCATCAAGGACCCGGGGAAGTGGGGTCTAGTGGCATGTAGCTTACCTTGTGGCAGGGGTTTGTCCTTTGTCCGAAACGAATCATCTCCAGGGGCGGAAGGCTTTTCTATTTTTTGTGTATTTTTTGCAGCAGGCGCTCTCCAACCAGAAGTTCCAAGAGTCCGAAGCTTTCCATGAAGAGCGCATTGCATTGCATTTGGATTGACCCACTTAACAGTTGAGAGCACAGAGTTTTGGTGCACACTCGATCCCCGGCCAGGGGAATTGTTCATGCAGGGCCTCCGCTCAGGTTTACCCGGCGTTTTGAGGGTATCGGCTCGGTCGGCATTGTAGGGAGCTCGGGCAGACCACAAAACATCTGAAAGTTTGGAAGCCGAGATGGCTAAGGTAACAGGCGATGTGGCGGTGAATCCAGAGGCCGCTGGGTACCAATAGAGACTATCAAAGCCAACCTCACCCATTTGCAGTGAAGCGGGGCTTGGTGCTTTAGGCAAGCTGTGTGATCATGACGACGGAGATCCTTCGCCGGAGCCCTGCTCTGGTGTCCGTGCCCGCAAGTTTATCCAAAGGCGAGAGCAATTCCCGAAAACTCCATGGAGACACGCTCTGAAGCAACACATGCATATTTGTCGCAGCCTTTAGCTTGCACAGCTCTGACCCGGTGCAGCAAGATGCTTCCAGCTATGATAACACAGGCTCAATGCTCTACCGCGGCGACAAGGGGCTTCGGGAGGCAGGAGGCTCTGGGAGCCAGGGGTAGGAAGACATGTATCGATCGCAGAGGCATGTGTGTGGCAGGTCAAAAAGCCTATTCAGGGAAGAGCATGCCCATTTGGATATGAAGAACACCATGGAACTCTTGGCAACTTTCTTGAATCGAACATCAGGCTGTGGGTTGAAAGCTGGAATGGCTGGCTCAAGGAATTCGGGTGGCTACAGGCAACTGTCCAGATGCCAGGAAGGTGAGACATGCATGCTGCGAGCCTGCATGTCTCCTGCAGGTCAAGTGGGTCATCTTCGATGAGGTGCTTTGAAGCCACTGCAAGCCTTGCATGTCAAATGAAGCTATGCAGGGGCTGTTGATGAGACTTTGCAACGTGTCCAGAAATGGTGTATCAGGGACTTCCGATGTCTTCCGAGCGCGTGGGGGCTACCGCGACCTGCCAACTCCGAATCGGTTTTGCTCGGCTCCGAAGCTCTCCGAAGCTCAACCGCTGGCTTTGCCTCGGCTTCCCGGGCCCATGCCGCCGCCGCCGCCGCCCCTTTTTGCCGAACGGAAAGGACGGGGCACTAGCCTTGCACAAGCCCCGGAAGGGGTTAAAGCCCAGGCGACCGCCTTAGTTGCTGTCAATGTGGATTCTCAGATTTTCTGGATCCTTCATCAGCATGCCTTTGGCACCTGGCAAAATTAACCTACATCGCCAGGACGCTTCATCGCGTTTTGCTCAGCCGGCCACCAAGCAGGCGGCGTCCAAAGCAAACTTGTGAAGCGGAGCAGAGGGAACTAGAGGAACAGTGTTGCAGGGTTTGCAACATGAGCGTATCGGAAGATGGAAAGGGACGGTAAGCAACCCGACAGGTGATTAAGAAGCAGAAGCTGCGGCTTCCATCTGTCCGCGAGCAAGTGGAGTTCTACTTCTCTGTAGGCTGCGCTGAACAAGCCGGCAAAGTCATATCGGTCCTTGCATCCCCTATTTCGAGCCACGCCCTAGCACTTGTTTTGCGCCAGGCAACCTTGCCGGCGACATGTTTTTGCGATCGCTGATGGATGATGAGTACTGGGTCAGCTTGGAGAAGATCATGGAGTTCCCTCGCATGCGCCGCCACCGCATCACAGCGGAGCAAGCAGCTGCTGAGCTTGCGGCATCATCCAGTGCCCGGACCTCAGGCTGAGGCAAGCATCGGACCGCGTGCCACATTTTTCGAGTGTGTTTGCGCCACGATTCCCCAGCAAAAGCAAGTTCCTCTAGTCATTCGTCCGCTTCTGGCATTCGGCGTGCAACCTGTGGCTCAAGCTTGGGCAGAAAGCCGTCAGCCGACGGCGAGTGCAGCGCACAGAGCGGCGAGGATGGGAATCGCCCGAGTTTCCAGCCCTTGTGAGTGCATCCATTGCACAATGTATCCGACAGGCGTAAGCTTTCCTGTAACCTTGAACTCTTTTCAACTCTTGGAGCCTTGACCTTTGGAGACCATTTGAGCAGAACGATTGTGAACTGCAATGAACTCGCACACACACACACACAACGCAGGTACAAAGTCTAGCTGCTTACATTTTTGTGTCAAACTGCAACTGAACCACACATATACTCGTTTGTTGCGGGCCAATCGTCCAACGTGCGATAAGGGGTATCCAAAATTTGCCACGGAAGGCCTGGCGCTGCGAACATGTTCAAGAAACGGGAGCGGCCGCAGGCAGGCGTTGGTACCGAGAAGCTGCGGTTGGTGTGATGTTGAGGTCCATACCGATGTTTGTTGGCTTGTTTGTTCAATTGTTTGTTTGGTCTATTCAGTTTATCGATTGTTTGTTTGCTTGCTTGCTTGCGTGCTTGCTTGCGTGCTTGCTTGCGTGCTTGCTTTCTTGCTTGCTTGCTTGCTTGCTTGCGGGCTTGCTTGCTTGCTTGCGTGCTTGCTTGCTTGCTTGCTTGCGTGCTTGCTTGCTTGCTTGCTGCGTGCTTGCGTGCTTGCGTGCTGGCGTGCTTGCTTGCTTGCGTGCTTGCGTGCTTGCTTGCTTGCTTGCTTGCTTGCTTGCTTGCTTGCTTGCGTGCTTGCTTGCTTGCGTGCTTGCTTGCGTGCTTGCTTTCTTGCTTGCTTGCTTGCGTGCTTGCTTGCTTGCTTGCTTGCGTGCTTGTGTGCTTGCGTGCTTGCTTGCTTGCGTGCTTGCGTGCTTGCTTGCGTGCTTGCTTGCTTGCTTGCTTGCGTGCTTCCTTGATTGCTTGCTTGAGTGCTTGCCTGCTTGCCTGCTTGGCTGCTTGCTTGCTTGCTTGCTTGCTTGGTTGCTTGCTTGCTTGCTTGCGTGCTTCCGTGCTTGCTTGCTTGCGTGCTTGCTTGCTTGCTTGCTTGATTGCTTGCGTGCTTGCTTGTTTGCTTGCTTGCTTGCTTGCTTGCTTGCTTGCTTGCGTTCTTGCTTGCTTGCTTGCTTGCTTGCTTGCTTGCTTGCTTGCGTGCTTGCGTGCTTGTGTGCTTGCGTGCTTGCTTGCTTGCGTGCTTCCGTGCTTGCTTGCTTGCGTGCTTCCTTGATTGCTTGCTTGCGTGCTTGGTTGCGTGCTTGCTTGCTTGCTTGCGTGGTTGCTTGTGTGCTTGCTTGCTTGCTTGCTTGCTTGCTTGCGTGCTTGCGTGCTTGCGTGCTTGCGTGCTTGCTTGCGTGCTTGCTTGCTTGCTTGCTTGCGTGCTTCCTTGATTGCTTGCTTGAGTGCTTGCTTGCGTGCTTGCTTGCTTGCTTGCGTGGTTGCTTGCGTGGTTGCTTGCGTGCTTGCTTGCTTGCTTGCTTGCGTGCTTGCGTGCTTGCGTGCTTGCTTGCTTGCTTGCTTGGGTGCTTGCGTCCTTGCGTGCTTGCTTGCTTGCGTGCTTGCGTGCTTGCGTGCTTGCGTGCATGCTTGCTTGCTTGCTTGCTTGCTTGCGTTCTTGCTTGCTTGCTTGCTTGCTTGCTTGCTTGCTTGCTTGCGTGCTTGCGTGCTTGTGTGCTTGCGTGCTTGCTTGCTTGCGTGCTTCCGTGCTTGCTTGCTTGCGTGCTTCCTTGATTGCTTGCTTGCGTGCTTGGTTGCGTGCTTGCTTGCTTGCTTGCGTGGTTGCTTGTGTGCTTGCTTGCTTGCTTGCTTGCTTGCTTGCGTGCTTGCGTGCTTGCGTGCTTGCGTGCTTGCTTGCGTGCTTGCTTGCTTGCTTGCGTGCTTCCTTGATTGCTTGCTTGAGTGCTTGCTTGCGTGCTTGCTTGCTTGCTTGCGTGGTTGCTTGCGTGGTTGCTTGCGTGCTTGCTTGCTTGCTTGCGTGCTTGCGTGCTTGCGTGCTTGCTTGCTTGCTTGCTTGCTTGTGTGCTTGCGTGCTTGCGTGCTTGCTTGCTTGCGTGCTTGCGTGCTTGCGTGCTTGCGTGCATGCTTGCATGCTTGCTTGCTTGCTTGCTTGCTTGCGTGCCTGAGATGCTGTATATGCCTTGCCGTACTGCTCAGTCGAGTTTTTGCTTTTCTTTTGTTTCACTTTTCAGGCGACTCGCGCTCGGGATGACGCCCCAGAGGAGGACACGCAGGTGGCGGCAGGCGATCTGGTGGCCAAGAGGCGCGGGTGGGGAGGTTGGGAGATGTGACAAGCACCGATGAGGCGTGGATCGTGTCCATCGGTCACAGATAGCTGTGCTTTGCCTGACGATCTTTCAGCTCAACCTAATTTATCATCTGGTCAGCTGGATTTGTTTTCTTTGAGATTGCGGTTGGGCAAGTGGGTTTGAAGAGGCCAATAGAAGGCAGCTTTCAGCAAAGGTACATGCTAGGGCTCAACTGCGAACTTGCCAAGACGTTGCCCAAGAAAGATTGGAGAAGTGAAGTGCCAGGCTGTATGCAGGATGAGAAGTATTCGAGCGACTTTTACTTGCGATTTTCAATACTATACAAAATGTTTGGTTGACACGTGCAATGCACATTTTCTTCCACCAAAACAGTATCTTTGAAGCACATACACGTGTTCATAGCCTCCCAAAGTTTGTCGGCTAACGTTTGTCTCCGTTACCCAGAAACTTCATGCCAAGGCATACATTTGAGCCACCGCCTGAACTTTCGTCAAGCGTGTGCATTGTTTCATGTTATTTTGATGACTTCCTCAAAGCCTCCCAAACTCCTGGCATCCAGTTTTCAGGCTGACATGCCCCATTCCTGGTCTTCAGCAAGTCACTAAGAAAATGTAAGGGCCCAAGGAGAATCTTTCCCATCATTCAGCGAGCGGCTCTGTTGCCGTCTTGGTAGGTCGCGGCGAGGCACTGTGACAGCAACCTCCAGCACTAACGAAGGCGTGGGCAGGTTGACCCACGCGAAGCAGCTGAAAGTGCCAAGCGGGGATTCTGAGTACGCAACGAAGCCCTTGTCAAGAATGTATGCGCCACAAGACAACCGAAAGTAGATCAGGCGTTCCAATTGCAGAGCTCAATACCGAGCCAGGGAGTTTTTGCATGCCGAGGGGCGACTCAGGCAGTTGAGTTCCAAGGACCACCATCAGCTTTAGCATTCCAATTGAGTTTGAGTTGTTGCTTTGCAAAACGTTTTCCAAGCCACCTTGAAATGTGTAGAGTAAGAGCGCTGCCAAGCAGCACATTTGATCAGCCATATCAGCCCAAACGGATCCAGCTTCTGCCAGCCTCAATTTATCCGCAGCCGCGTTGCAGTTGCGTTGCAGGCCATGCTCTGTTTGGGATCCACTTCCATCTTCCAATTTGCTCCTTTGATAGCTATCATCCCGTGATAGCTCGAAGGCGGCACAATTGCCGCCTCCTCTCGGAAAGAGATGTCCGAGAATGCAACTCGGCATCGACGGAGCTTTGCTTGTATTCATGTATTCGTTACTCAAAGAACTCCCGCGGCTTTGGGCTTCGTCCAGCCGCAAGGAGCTGGCAAGCAGAACCCAAGCTAGATGTGTCGCAACGTTTGTTGGGAAACCGCAATAGACATGTTTGTACAGCGGACAGAAGCAGAGTTCATGGTGGTTGCTAGAAGGAACCATAGCAGGTAGAGAAAGCATGTTTTTCTTTTGCAAGGCTGGACCGGGCGTCATTCATACGTTATCATAAAACATGATAGTATGAGGAGTTTCTGTGTATTCACAGCTGGCGATCTAGGGCCAAAACAGCAGCCATCTTGCACCGCAAGTATTTGCACAGTTCTATACGTGAAGCGACTATCCTTGCACAGCGCTAATTGCACTGCGATTGTGTGGTTGCACGGGTGGCTTGGACAAAACTATTTGAGCGGCCCCAACTGGGAGTGCAACGGAAGTTGCTCATTCTCAAGGGAAGTGGCAGTTTAGTTGGGCTCACGGGTGGCTGTGAGTTGTGGGTATGCAGGAGCCAACTGGGATGTCTTTCTGGTTTGACAGGCACAATTGTCAACCTACAAGAGTCAGCCTTTTGTATGTTTGCATTTGGTGATGCGCTTTTGTCTATGTAATCTGAAGACGACGCACACACTGTTCTTTCTTGGGGAACGGCGAATGTTGGCTTTCTACTGGAGGGCTATTTTTTTTTCGAGATTTTTTCCCGTTTTTATAAAGGATTTTTCCTGGATTTCATCTTATTTGGCTTCTTAGCTTCTTGGCTTTTGGGCCTTTGGCTTCTTGGAGTCTGGGCCTTTTTGGCTTCTTGGCTTTTTGGTTTGTTGGCTTTTGGCTTTTTGGCTTTACTTTATTTTGTGGCTTCGGCTTTCTGCATCCTCAGCATCACCAGTATCAGCTTTTGGCTTTTTGGATTTTTGGTTGGTGGCTTCTTGCCTCCCAGGTTGCTGAAGATGGGGGGGCTGCGCCCCCCCCAACCCCCCCCTCGTTACAGGGCTGTTGTTTGGCTTTCTGATGACTTCAAAAGGCAAGCCTCAAATTCTGAACGAACCCCAATGAATCCAACGCCCACCCTAAACCCACGTTTTGGCCCCAAAACACCTTAAACCAACTAAACCGCCTAAACCCACCCTGAAACGCCACTAAAACCAGAACCTTAAAACCAAACCGCCAACCCCAAAGAAATTCTAAAGAAACTTTGAACCCGCCAGACTCCCTAAAGAAACTTCTAAACAAACCCACTCTAAACCAGTGATAGACTATCCCTAAACCAACTCTAAACCTACCCTACACCAACCCTAAGCTACTTCTTAAACCCACCCTCACCCCACCCGAAACCAACCCTAAGTCCGCACTAAACAAGCCTTAAACCCCCCCCCCCCCCCCCCTAAACCACCCCCACGCCCCAAGCATGCCCAAAACCAGCCCTAACCCCCCACTAAACCCACCTTAAAGAAACCCCAAAACCAATCCCTAACCCCCCCTAAACCAGCACTAAACCCAAACAACACCCACCCTGCAGCAACCCAACCGCCCCCTACCCCCCCCAAACAAACCAAACCAACACTAAATTATTCCCAAGCCACCCTGAACCTACCCCAAACCCGAAGCCCACCTAAACACAACAGCCTAAACCAACTCTAAACCCCACCAGCCCCAAGAAGCCCACCAACCAGCGCTATCAGCGCAGCCCCCAAACTTTCCCTAAACCAACCCTAACCGACCGAACCCGTCCTAAACCAAGCAGGACCAAGCATAGCAAAGCCAACTCGTGATGTTGAAAAGGACGCCGAGTTAAAACGATGCCGGGGATGTTGACAGCGCTGGTGCAAAGCAGAAGCAAGGGAGATCGCACCTGCCAGTTCCAAGAAAGAAAGTTCAGGAACAAATCCCAAAACAAATCGGGAAACATTCCCAGAAAAAAAACCAGACTTTTTTCTACCCGTCACTTTCATTCTTTGAAACTGAGTAGACTGCGCCACATTTCTTCAACTTCAACAGGTGGTACTGCAAACGACCAAGAACAGACTGACTATTTTGAGTCGAACACTCAATTAGTTTGCTGAGGCACGCTTTGCGGAGCGACAGCAGGACGCCGTGTTTTCTGGCTTCAAGGCCGGCCAGCCGGGGCAACGGAACAGCGAGGCCAGTAGCTGATGTGCGGATCATATTCAGACGGTCCAGGCCAGCGGCTCCACGGAGAACACGCTGGAAGCCTCGGGGTTGGAAAAGGGGAAGGGAATTTGGTTGAGAGAGACTCGCGTGGCATTTGGGGCTGGCTGCTTGGGGCTGAGGCCGTCCTCCGATGCTACTCGCCGACTGGAAGTGGACACCGATGTAAGCCAAAGCCCGAGACAACGGGAGAATGAGACGTAAGCTCATGCGATGTTTGTGGCTGGAAACTGTCACTTTTCTGATCCGCTCTAAACTGCCAGCATTTGCTTGCGACCTGTTGATATTGGATGGCAGGTGCTGGGACTGGGGCATGCGGGGAAGGAACATTTGCTGGCACAGACCTCTGGCACCTTGCCCTGGTCTGAGGTCAAGATACTCGGGCGATCTTGGCAGCTTGGCGTTGGCCGTTCCAAAGTTTGTTGGAAAAGACGTGGCGGCTGCCGGCTGCCGGCTGTCGGCTGGCTGTGCCTGCGCTTTTAGCTTTTAGGAACGGAACGACGAGATCAACAAAGGCCTCAAGGAAGGCAGCCTGGAGAAGGGCGTGTACAGAGGTATGGGCGGCTACCAGCACCTTGGATCGGATAGCTACTGATAGCTGAGTGAAGGTTGGCCTGGGTTGTGGTTGTTGTTGATCCCCATGTCGCTTTTGCCTTGAAAACTTAGCTTGGTGCATGGCTGTGCTGGACGCAGATTGAGCGCGATTGTTGCCCCCGCCGTCGTTGTTATGCAGATATGCCATCATGAAGCTTTCTGTGGTCAGGCGATATGCCAATCGTAGTGAGCACGCCATTGCCAACTCCAAGTACACAGGTCTGCTAGGCCATCGGAGTTTATCTTGAGACAAGACTTGAGTTGAGTTCAAGACTTGACGACAGACAGTTCACAAACGGGGGGCGGGGGAGCTTCGTTTCTGGAGAGAAGAACAAGAACGACCCTTGGACCATTGAAGAGGCACAGGCTCCTGATGCCCATTGATTTGCAGGACCCTTGCGCAGCAGCCTGAGTAACGTGCGCAGCACCCTGCGCATCGAGTACATCGGCACCAGTGGCGAGGGTGACTCGGCTTGCGGCGCGTGGGACACATTTTGTTTCGGCCTTTGGACCAGAAATCTCCATTGGGGAAGAGCAAACTTGGCATTCCAAGGAGGGCAGTGGCCAACGAGAGTAGGTTTGTTACTTGATTGTGGCAATCTTTTGAGCCACTGCGACAGGAGTTGCATTTTTCCTGCAGTTTCTGCCGTCCCAAACGAAGCGTACCTTGCGAATTGTTCGGATGTTGCTGAGGCTGCTGCGCGCTCACGACAGCAATTCATCACGACAATGTCTGAAACGACGACCATGTTGAGCGATGTTTGCCTTAAAGCCGAGCCATCCAGAGACACCCCGCTTGCTATCCTCGGATTAGTTTTATCTGCATTGCAGCACACGTGCCCGGATGGCAACTGCGTGCTGCAGAGCTTCGAGTGAGCTCCACCGTGCGTGGGCCAGGTCAAGCGGAGTGAAAGATCTGGTGTCACAAGCCACGTAGCCCGGACGATACCCGCGTCTTGATTGCACAAGGGCACAAGGGGTCACGTTCCACTCCAGCAGGCGCGCCGCAAGCATGTGCAGCAAAGAAGCAAAAGGCGCAAAAGGCGTCAGAAAGAAAGGTAAAGGATGCCTTATCCTGGTCAGCACACTCTCGTGCCTGCCCAACTACGGCGTTATAATGCAATGGGCGACCGCCCATCTTGGCCACATCGTTGCGCGTCCCAGAAACCCACTTCTGAGAAGAGCTCTGGCGCCATGCGTCACGAAGCTGATGCCGCAGAAAGGACTCAGCCTTGACAAAGGCAGGCTCAGGCAATGCAAGCGAAAAAGTGCAACTTGTGACGGCATGTGACCAAGTCTTTTTAATGCCTGATTGATCGTCGAGGACCAACTTCTAGTGCCTTTCAGGGTCTGGTGACCTATGCTTGTGCAAAAACTGACGTGCTGCAAGCACATTTGCTCCCAAGATTCTGTAATAAAGATCAAGTCCATGCCCACGCAGGATGCGTCGAACGTGCAGACATCCCTGAACGGGATCGGCAATGTCTGAAACAAACTTTGTTCCGCGATGCAGGCCGACCATCCGCAGAAGGACAGATAATGCACCGCTATTTGCCATGGTGCAAACAATCGCTAATTGTCAAGAAGGCAAAGTATGCGATCGGCCAGTGCCAGCAGGCCGGGTATCATTCTGATTGCTGGCCGCTCACTTGACAAAGGCATCTTGCCTCCACACCTCCGGCAAGTGCTGCAAGTGCTCACTTCTCTGTTGAAGCGCAGCACGAGCCACAGTCTGAGCCAAGTCACCTGGGTCCGCTCTGCCCTCCTTTGTCACACAGCGCTGAAGATTTTGAAATGCAAATGGCTCCTCAAGACATGTCTCAAGTGAACGAACGCATGCATGCTTAAGAGTTTTGGACGACATGGTCAAGTTGTGCAATTGTGAGGATTTTCACGATCCAGCCCCTTTTGCCTTTAGACATTGGTCCTGCTGCCATATTACGCTTCTTTCTGGCACATTGGAAGGCAGGCTCACTTGCGCACCATTTGCGTGGAGGCTCATAGTCTACTAATCTACTAGCGATCGTGGCCCTGCAGTTCAGACTTTCTCAGAGATGGTGCCAGCTCACGCAATGGTAGCCCAGGTGGCATTTGCAAAGACTACAAGGCACGAGGGCTGTGCATATGGACGTGTCTTTTGTTAGGTGACCCATCAAAATGGCGGGCTTCCCCCTTTAAATCAACGCCAAAAAGGGTACCCTCATGATTAAGAGGAAATAACAAGACCCATAATATGTAGGTTCGCTTGCCATGATACGAAGCACAGAAAGGGAGGCTTCAAGCCTCGTTGTGCGTTATGAATGTGGCGGCTGTTCAGATGCATTTTTTTCCTGTAGGACTTATTCAAAGATGTGCTCCTGGGAATACCGCTAACTGTGACCATGGACAAATTTTCAGCGCTTGATTCCTTTTAGAAGCTGTTGGCAAGTTGGGAGCTTGCGCTTGCCAGCTGCATCAGGAGACGGGCTACTGCGGCTTCGGGGACTCCTGCAAGTTCGCCCATGACAGGCGATAGACTCCGATAGACTCGGCTGAGGTTTGCTTGAGTCGGTCTTGCGATGCCTCGGATGCAACGCTCGCCCTGCAGAACTTTTGGTGCAAAAGCCCTCCGGTACACTAACATGGGCCCGCAATCCATGTGTGTGCGAATGGGCGGGAAAGGTTGAGGAACATGTTGGGCTCTCTTTCTCTTTCAGTGGCTGTGGTTTGTTGGCTCGATGAGAGGTCGGACTACAAGCCGAGCTACATCCTGGAGCAGGAATGGGAGGCCAAGCAAAAGGCGGGTCTCGACACAAATCGTGCGATAGGTGGGGCTGGGTGGATTAATTATTGGTATCCAATTGAACATGATGTTGTGACAAGTGGATTAGTGGGCTTCAGAAGCTACAGCCGCAGCTATATTGATTAGGTTAAACTCTATTTGGCTCGGGACGTTTCAGGGATGGTTTGGTGGTAATGTTGGGCCCAGGCCGCCTACCCGACCAGGAGATCGAAGCAAAGAAGCGCAAAAGGTGGGAGAAGAAGATGGAGAGGCCTTGAAGCACGCTGGCCAACTGCTTTGCCGCGTTGTAACTCGCCCTTGCGACTTGGCTTTGGATCACTGGCTCTCGTTGGTTCATTCCCCCTCTCGCAGGCGAAAGAAGGCCGAGGAAGAAGGCCGGGCTCTGGATGAAGAGGACGACTCCACCGCCCGGGCCGAGGAAACTTGACTCCAGCGCATCCAAATTCCTGTGAGTTGCCCAGGTCAGCTCAGAGGACACTGAAGAGGAAGAGCTACCCACAGAGTGCTTCGAGTGCGGAGCCGCTTGGCGCTAAAAGCGACTTTGGTGCGGAGCCATGTGCGAATTTCATGAAAGCTGGCCCTGGTGGAATCCTGTATTTGAGACCTGTCGCGCAGGAAACCTGGAAGAGGTGCAAGAGCATCGCAGTGCAGACCACTTGCGGGCACTACTTTTGCGAGGCGTGAATGCTGCTGTTGCTTGGTTCCCTTGCTGTTGCTTGGAGGGGATGGACGGAATGGGAGGCAGGTGTAATGCAAGGAATGTAACCCATGAATGAAGGGGATGCTGTCGTAACTTTCGCAAGGTGGCTGATGCATTGGTTCTTCCCTGCGGCTTTCTTGCCGCTTCCCTTCCGCTTTCCTGCCGCCCTTGAATTTGTCACCATAGGGGCATGCTTTTTGTGATGGGATGTTCACTTCGTCATTTTTTTGCCTGTTTCGAAAATGGAGTTTCGTCCTCGTGGGCCATGCAAAAAACAACATTGTGCTTTGCAGTCAGTGGCCAGGATCGTTCCCTTGCCCAAAGTGCCAAGCCAGGACTGCGCCATGGCAGCCTTCGCAAAGTCACCGAAGTGCGTGAAGCTTGGGGCCCAGTTTGCTTGCAGGGACCTCATGAGACTGACTCGTAGTATGCTGGGGTTTCCATAGATTGGAAACACGGATCAGCCTGCCTCATGCGTGACTTTGGGATACTGTTTGTTTTTGGTTTGTGCCAGCGTGCGCGGCAGGTGTGGCACCAACACCAATGGCATATTCAACTCCGAGCCTTGCCTGAAATACTCGTGCCAGCTAGATTTGGTATCGGCGTGGCTGACCCTTCTGGCGTGTGTTTTTTGTCATTTCCCGCTCGAGGGGAGTTGTTGTGGTTTGTCGGCGGCGCAGTTTCGCAGTTTGATCGCTTGAGATCGAGGTGCGTACTTCTGACATGGGAAGCCCCCTCACATGGTTCAAGCTTTGCGGGCGTTGCAGTCCTTTCCGTTTGCGCGCACGGAGATTTGCTTGAACAGAGTGACTAGATTCCCGTCTCAGAGTTGTTGTTCGGATGCTTGCCGTGTAAAATGATTTTCGGTCAAGATGTTGCCTTGACCCGCACTTGTGTGATTTGGCACAAGGCGGAGACTCTCCAGGAGAAGCTGAAGGCCCTGGCTGGTCCAGTGAGCACAAAAGCTTCCAAGCGGAGCTGATGACTCCCTGTTTCAAGCTGTGGCTTGTTGGATCTGGTACTTGGTAGCATACGGGCAGCCAGGTCAAAAAGGAGCGGCGGGCCGAGCGAAAGAGAATGAAGGCCTCCAAGCGCAGGGAGGCGCGGCTTAGTTCGCTTCGAGGCTTTTCTTGCAACCACAAAATCAACTCTACCTTTCGGTACCGCATTTCGAAGGGTCAGAGAGCCATGTGCAACTCTCTGCCACTGGTGCCGCAGGCACAAAATACCTTCGGCGTGAGCACGGAGGGCAACTTCGTCTAGTGACTGCCGTTGGCAGAGACCCTGCCCACGCACAGTTTCGCAGCTGTGCATGTACAAAGCGCGATGTGCGGATATGTGCCAATGGCCCGCTTTGCGGGGTGCAATATGGTCGCCCTGTTTCCGGATGCCGTGGAAAATCAGGGCGGAAAGGGAACTTGTGCTCTTTTGTTGGCCCATGTTCGCGTGAAGGCAGCTAGCAGTTCCCAACAGACGGATCACGCTAAGAGCGAATGCCTCTAACTTGCAGGTTGTGAGAATATTTGCTGAGGTAAGGAGGTCTTGAGACACTCTGGAATCTCTTCGGACCTATCCAACGGGCTTCCTATGTTACTTTCAAAGGTCAAGCCCAATATTTTCAAGAATCCATCCCCGACCCATGCTCTTGCAACGGCCGACTCGTCCCCCCTTTGAAGCTGCGCCTGAACAGAGTGCTCAGCGAGCCCCGCGCTGAAGGTGGAGGTGGCGCTGGGCCCGCTCCGCGTGCGGCTGCGCTGCCCAAAGCTGCGTGCGGCCTTTTTTTCAAGGAGAGATGGACGCAGGATCGGTGGGAGAATGGCCGGGGAGCGTTCCATGCGCTGAAGTCAAATGGGGTCAAGTTGTGGCTATGGCCTTCACGACTCCATGACCACAAAAGGACAACTCACTGTATGGAGAAACATCTCGAGCGGGCCTGGGCAGCTAGGGTTGCGGGTAAATACTTGCGATTTCTTCGTGAATTGGCTCAAGCCGCGCAAACCTCGCTGGAGGGGTCGCCTTTTGAAGTGAACCATGGTGGACCGTCCTGCATGCGGGCAGCAGATCTGGGGACCAGCGCCTGAATTTGCGCGAACATCGGCTGGAGGGAGCTCCGCTGGGAGCCAGCTGTTCCAACCTATGACTGTGTTTGGCCCTCACGCGCAGCCGGGAGCAATATGCTGACCTCATGCAGGAGATGTGCACTTTCATCTGCGTGACGTTCGGCATTTGCTTTTGATCACAACGCCTCTGCCATCATTGCTTGGGCTTGGGCATCGGCTTGCAGGATTTCGCGGCGTCCAAGACCTCAGTGGCCCACCCACACGAGAGAGCTGGTGGACTCCGCGTTGCAGCATCAACCAGTCCAGGGCGGCGGCTTTGAGTGCGGAGTTTGAACATCTCAGATGGTGATCATGCTCAGCAGCCCTTGGCTTGCTTTTGGCTGCAGCCTTCTTGCAGGCGAACCTGTTTCACACATCTGCATAATTTCTGGGCAAGCCACGGCGATGCGACCAAAAAGACATTTCAAAGGGTCCCTTCTTGCGTGTTTCGTGAATCAATCACATAATTTGTGGAGACGATCTTTCGTATTTCAGGTTGGTGACGTATTGTGATTAATTAAAGCACCCACGACTGGAGCTCGTTCCAGCATTTCTGAAATTCTCGTTTTTCTGGTGCTCAGTAAGGAATCAACATGGGTTTTGGGAATGGACCTAGGGGAACTGTTTCAGCCCTCCGTTGGCATATTGAGCATGCCCCCTGAAACGAGGGTTTCTGTGAGCCAGAGATCCTCGCGCAGACAAATCAATCAACGGGCTTGGCTGAAGTTTGATCGGTCCGCACGCCGTGACCTCGCCCGTCCTCCACTCTCGTGGCCAGGCACAGGAGGAGGCCTGGAAGTCGGGGCGCCAGAGAACAGCCCAGGCCGGAGCTGTCACGCGAGCGATGCAAGGAGGAGAATTGGAGGCGATATTGATGCACGCACTGTTGCGCAGGAATGTGTTGGAACGTCACAACCTCGAGCCAACAGAGTGGTCTGGATTGCAAGCCACTCGGGGATTTTAGGTTTCTGGTCGTTCCCAGCCGATCTCTGGGCATCCTTCTCTTCGGAAAGCAACCGATCTGGGCAAAAATGCAAGGTTTGTAAAAATAGTCGCAAGTGAACATGAGGAGGACCCACCATTGGAATGCTGTGCAAACCTTGCAGTCAGAATAGTTCCACCTTTCTTCTAAACAGCCCGGACTTTCCCGACCGTTCATCAAGAACTGACTCTTTACGTTGGCCTTTGGAGAAGTTAGCGGTGGCCGAGCTTCATTTGAAGCAATCTCCACCTTGCAACATTGTCGGAAGACTTGAAGTAGCACCAATCTCGATGGGGTTTGAGGCGATTTTAATCATGATTTAATCAGGTGCCATTTCGGACAGCCTGTTGCTTTTCATTATATTTAGCGTTTCCCTTTCTTGCAAGAGTTGCAGCATGCTATTCCACATCGCCGCACAGGGCCAAAGTTTGCTCGCCTCGTCGGTCAGACATGGCTAGCTTCACGTCAGAGCGTATCAGATGGTTGGCACTGCTCACCAAATACCATGCTCAGGAGGCAAACCACCAACCCACGCGCCAACGCAGGCGAAGGCTCCGGGAGTGTGCCAGGTCGGCTCTGAGAGGCAAGCAGGGAAAAAGCGATGTTTGCCATGCTCTTGTACCTGCGTGTTCAAACTCAGTCCAAGCAGTGTACAGGCAGTGGACCTTCAGCAGCGAGAGGTTTATGGTATGCCGAGAATATGGATGGGAGTTGCGACCACGAGCAACAAATGCAAATCGTCATTGTGCCCTTGTCCGTTGTTTTGTTCTCTTGTTTTCCTCTTGTGTGCACAGCCTCCGTCAGCAGTAGCTTCTCTTTTGCATTTCTTGTTTCCATTTTTAGTAGCCTCCTGGGTTCCATGGTCAAAACATGGCTACTTGAGGTTGGTAGGGACGGTCATGGATCCAAAAAAAACCGAGGTAAAGCATCTGTCAGGGTTCCATGGTCAAAACATGGCTACTTGAGGTTGGTAGGGACGGTCATGGATCCAAAAAAACAAGGTAAAACCACTGTCAGGAAACGCATCATTTTGTCGATGGCTCATGTCTTGTTCAGGCCAAAGAATGGGAATGTTCCGACTGCGGCATTGGTGCGCGCCTCAATATGCCCATGTATTCAGACTTACTTGCTTTCAGCCCTTTGAAGCGAACAATCACCGAACAAATCCAACCCCCAATCTTGCACAAATTGTCGCTTCAGACGAGTTGGCAATGGAAGGCCACGATTGTTTGCTTTTTCAACCCTGAGAAGACACACCAACTCGTTGCTCCTCTGGAGGTTACGGCGCCAGCGCCAGCTATGCCCAATCTTGGCCAGGCGCAGCGCTTGCCAGTACTTTCATGCTCATTTTCCATTGACTGCCCCTATCATAGATGTTCTACGCTTGCGGCAATGTGCTGTTTTGGTTTCAATATTCCGATTGTCCGCTCGGAAACGACTCACTCGAAGGTTCTGCTGTTGCCGCCCCCTTGCCGGGCGACTCCGCCAGTGCCAGGCAATGGTGGTGACAGTAGCAGGGAGGGCATGTTGACCAGAACTCGGCGATTTTAAGCAATATCAGCGAGATGCTCCAGGTGCAACGTGGGCTTGACACAAGAGATCATCTCCTTTGGCTCCCGGGAGTTCTTTTGGGCGCCCGGGCAATGCTTTGGGGACGTATTAGGTCAGTCACAGGCAGAGTCTTTTGGGCCCTTGGGCTTTGTGGTGCAGGCGCCCATCCCAAGTCGGCTGCAAGACCGAAACTGCCAGGCAGAGAGTTGAGTTGGCGAGCGAACTGCTTGTGGCTCTCCGAGTTCCCGGCATGGCCAGGGGCTTTCTCGAAGGCAGCGCGCGTCTGAGGGCGCGAAGGCACACAGAGCCTTGGATTGGGCGAATTGCGGGGTGCCGGCGAATGTGGTTTAGCTGCGGTGCGCCTTTGCCTGAAGAGATTTTCACGGTTCATGCAGGGTATTGTTCCGGCTCTCAGCAATTGCTTCTTTTTTCCAGGCAGGCGCCCAGTCGAGCTAGTTGGCATGGTAGTACAGGCAGGGTGAAGTCTGTGCTGCGTGAATTCAGATGGAAAAAGGTCAGCAAGCTGCTGTGATGCAGAGGGTCAAGGAGCCCTAGCGCAAATCCTCGACGCACCCTCATGATGGTCTGCAGGGTATGGATTTGGTAGGTCTAAAGCTATACTCACTTCAAGATCGTGTAGAGCAAGGGAGTTTCGCTCTTGATCAGGGTTCTCTCAGCAGGTCGTCGTTGGATCCCAAATGAAGTTGCGTGACCGGAAATTTCTGAGGGCCTCACTGAAACTTGGGCGCTGCGGAACCATGTGCAAACTGTGAGAAGAGCATGCAAGGCACATATCGGCAACAGATCTAGTGCGCAGGTGCACTACGTCAATGACGCGGAGCGTGGCGTGGTTTGGGAGGAAGTCATCATCCTCTTGCCCTCTGAGGCCACCGAGTGATTTGAATGGCTGCTGGCAGCTGAGAGCTTTCAGGTGTCCATGGTGATGCTGTCGGCAGTGACCTCGGTGTGACTTCGCAAGGATCTCTTGCGAGTTTCGGCTCCTTCTCTCCGAAAGCCGAGATTGTAAGATCTCAACAATCAACCGCGCAACTTGTCTCCTGGACTGCTTGGAAGCTTGGCTGGCAATGCTGGCTCGACTGGAAGGCTATTGGGGGTATTGTCGCAGCAAGCGAAGCACCTTGTTCTGTGGATGGTTCCAGGCGACGGTGCCGAACTACAAGGACTTTGCTGGGTGGGTTGGCAGAACCAAGCGCAGTCCCGTGTGCGCCGTTGCGCTGAAGTCGCCTTCACTCTTTGATGTTCAGTTTGGTGGTAGGAGGCTAAGATGCCTATTTCTTCGAGCAAGTTGCAAGGTGCAAGCACCAAAGGAACGACAGCAGCCCTTGGTTGTTTGAGGTCTCATGCGGGCTGTGTGCAGAATTCAGTCTCATGAGCAGACGTAGCTTGTTTGACAGGTACACGGTGCACACAACCTACCGACCGACTCCATTACGCAAGGGCCCATAGGAACAGTTGTCTCGAGGGCTTGGGCGAATCAAATGGAGGGAGATTGCCACATCTTGGCCATTTGGGCAGTTCAGATGGGTCTGTCTTTACATAGCCAACAATGTCAATGCGCATTTGGGTCGCAATGGAAGGTTTTGGCGTCGCTCGATTTTTGATCCGAGGACACTTCCTCAGCTTCCGGGGCCACGCGCTGCCGCTGCTCGACTCCGAGCCGGGGAGACCCAGCGAGAGGGTGGCAGGTCCGGGGTCTTTGAGTTGGCTTTGTCGGAGTGATTTCACGCTTGAAATCTTTGAAGCACAGGGACATGGGAAATCATAAATCATAAATACATCATGGGGCCATGAACGTTTTGCACAGGCTTGGGTTTTGCTGGCAGAGCTTGTTGTGCTTGGTGTGATTGAATGCAGGGTTAGGAGGTCACTTGGAAGAGCAATCTGATGAACAAGCCAGCTTGCCTCAGTGTCAGAAATCGGAGCGTTGCCATTGGCTCAATCGCTTGGACAGTGGCTTGACAGTCACAGAAAAACAACGATGGAGCCTACTCACGATTAGCTGATGCTGGCTTCAACGCGCACACATTGGCCGCACACTCTTCAGCAAAAAACACACACACACACACAGGAGTTTGCTTACACTCCTGTTGAACCAGACAAATAAGGCATTGCACCTGGTACAGTAAACTCTGGGAACCTGAGCAGCTTTGCCCTTGCGGACTGACGCAAGATGGCCGAGGACCAGCATCATTCAGCATTCGCGTGATTCCCTGGGCTTCGGGGCTCAATCGTTTTGAGGCCTTTCAGCCTGTAGCCTTCTGTGAACCCTTTGGAGTCCTTGACAGTCACGAAGTGGGCTCACCGTCAGGACAAAGTGGAGACCAAGATCATCGATGGCAAGGCGATTGCTGCCTTGGCGGCAGCCTTGGTTGACTGGCACTTTGGACAGCTACAAGCCATGTGCGTACAAGCCATGTGCGCCTGCGTGGCACTGGCGAGGTCCGAGCGGAAGTCAAAGACTTGACTGCAACTTGCCACCAAAATATAGTCGCCCGCTTCGAGCGTTGTCTCTAGAGGAAAACAGGAAGTGTTTGGACTTGACAAAGTGACTACAATGGACGTCTAGACAGCGTCTGCAGTCACACCCTCTGACCTCTAGCCTGAACATGCGCCTCTCAGCTAATGGGGGGCTATGCGAGTGATCCGGTGTGAGCGTCTTCCACGTAATCGAGGCAGCTTTGAAGTCAGAGAAGGTGACCCCGGGCCTGGCCATGATCTTGGTGGGCGAGCGTCAGGATTCCCAATCCTATGCCCGGGGCCCCAAGAGTAGCGGCAGCGCCCCGGAGGTGCTTCGCAGGGTGAGCTTCCATTTGATGTGTTTATCACAAAGCTGGCGCCTCAAGAGGCTTAGGAAGGGAGTTGAATGGCAACCAGAGACCTTCCTGTCTCAAAGGCAAAATTCAGGAGCACACCTCAAGCGTGTTGCGGATACCTCTGCTGCAGGTGAAGAACAAGAAGAAGGCGGCCACTGAGGTGTGGGCTACGAAGAGAAACACCGACGGGGTTTCCTTGGGCCGAGTAGCGGGGGTTCTGTACAGAATGGGAAGTGCGGCTGCAAAGGCATCAACATGTAGAAGTTCCACTTGAGGTGTTACGTAAGGGCCAAAGTCATTCTGTTCGACCCGCAGGTCGACTTTCATGTCGTAGACATCCACCTGCCGGAAAGTGTTACGCAGGAGGAGCCTCGCTCCTGATCGGGGCAAAAGGGTCATGTTGCAATGTTTTATGCGACAAATGAGTGCTCTGTCTTATTGTAAACGCTTCGCGTTGCCCGCCTCGGCTGGTCCGCTTTTGGCTGGTTTGAGGTGTATACTGTGTTTTAGTTCGCCTTCAAGTGTTGCGTTTGTTAGAGCGAGTGAGTCGGCGCCGAAATGCGTGAGCTGGTTGTAGAGGGTGGGTGCATGTCCGCGTAGGGCCAAGCGAAGGTGCAATTTTTTTAGGGAATCTGACTTGTTTCTGGGTGAAATTTTCAGGTTTGTAGAGCGGACTTTGACCGGTTTCTTCGGTTGCGAGGGGTTCTGGAGGGGGTTCGGCCGCTTTTAAGGGGAATTTGACCGGTTTCTTGATTTGACTGGTTTCTAGGGAGTTTTACCGGTTTTTAGGGGGAATTTGACTGGTCTCTAGAGGGGAGTTTGACCGGTTTCTAGACGTGATTTGGAGGGGATTTGACGAGTTTCAATTGGTATTCTTGGGGATTTGATTGGAGTTGGACCGGTTTTGAAACAGAGTTGGTGTTAAAAGCGGCAGATGCCAAACGTAGTGCGCCGTTGCTCTTTGTGGCTGAGACAAGTGCCTCGCCCACGGCAGGAGCTGCTGCTGGAGCTGGAGAAGCTGAATGCCGACCCTCAGGCATGTGGGGACGTTGCCAATCCTTCACCATCAATGATACTCAATAAACTTTGGGTTTTGTTCGGTGTGTTTTCTGTTTCGTTTCTTGGCCACCAATCACGCGACCGCTCAGAGGGCCGCCCGCCGGGCTTCACCATGGGCAACGGAGAGCAGCTAGAGCTGTTGCGGTGTAGTGCGTTTGCCTGAGGTGCATGGCATCTTGGTGCAGCTCCCTTTGCCCGCGCACATTGATGAAGCTGTAGTGTTGAAGCGCATCCGAGTGGACAAGGACGCGTTTTGGACAAATTCCGACATTTGTCACTTCTCATATTTCCTGGGCCGGTGGTGCATGTAGCTGTAGATCAATTCTAAGTCGCGACCTAGCCTCTCCTTGATATCTGGCTAAGTCTGTACTGCTTGAGTGGCTGCCTCTTGTGAAGCCATTCTGTGGTTCATGTTTGTCTGAAAGGCCATAGCCTAAGTGGCACTTTCAGGCGACCGACTACTTATGCTGCTGCCAAAGGCAACAAGCCACACACGCACTTCAGACTGTGCAAAACACATACAACTTCGAATCACCATGCCAATCCAACATCTGAGCCTGGTTGGTTTCGCAGGATGCGGACGGGTTTGCAGCCGAAAATGCTCCCTGGCAAAAGCTGGGAAAAGTCGTGGCACTGTTGATTCTCAGAGTTGGGACCGTCCTCTCAAGCAATTGTGCTTCGTGTGGCTCTGCAACTTGCCGTGCTCTGTGAACTCAATTAATGTTGGTGGTTGTCTGCTTTGCTCGCCTTCACTTGTTGAAAAGCCAGTTGGTCAGTCAGTTAAAGAGACACACACACGCGACTGTTGAGAGCATGGCATTGCATACAGCTGGCGCAGGTTGGCAATCTTTGCCTCAAAGGAGATCCGCTGGCTGTGCCGCACACAGACAAAGGTCCTCTTGAGAGATGTCTGGGACTTCCCCAGCTTAAAGATGAACCCTTTGGGCACTTTGGGCTCGGAATGCGACTTGCTGCTCGCGGTCACCTTCCATCGCCCTCTGTTTGGCCTCAGCAAAAGGAACCGAGGCTTTTCTCAGCTATTGATGGAGTACTCGGCATGCGCAAGGGAGAACAAATTTGATATAGAAGTTTCTGTCAAGTATCCTGTCTCACATGGGCGTGTCTTTTTTGCGGGACCTTTGGAAAGTGGTGGTTTCCTTGTGCTGTCTCTTCAAAACCCGGGTACCGAGCCTCAAAACCAAGCGGGCTGCTGCCCGAGGTGCCTTGCACCCCGGCGGGTTGCGTGGAGCTCCTGCAGCGCAGCGGCGTCGAGGTGGCGGGGAAGAGCGCCGTGGTCCTCGGCAGGCGCGGAGTTTTGGTCGCGACGTCGGCTCTCCGCAGCGCGGGCTGGTCGAAGACAGGCAAGCGACACGAGTCAAGCAGGATGGGGTTTCTCAAAATTGGGGACTCCTATTTTGAGAAACATTCATGTCTCACAGAGGTTTTGGCATTTTTTTTGCAAGCAAAGACTGGTGCAAGAGAGTCTGGACTCATTCGGCGAACGTGTTTGCCTGACAAAGCACAATCAAGCCACCAAGCAAACAATCCAACCAAGGAAGCAAGCAATCAATCGAGCAGCAAAGTTCTAGTGGGCTAATTAGGAGTCACACAATTTAGTCGCTTAGCGCATGTAAAACACGAAGCAGCTCCAAGTACTCCGTCGAGAGTTCTATTTGCACAGAGTAGACACAAGCACAAAACACGCACGCACACACACAGAGCATACACAGAGAAATACACACATGCGTATACATTCAAATGTGCATGATTTGGATATTATGTTACATTTCATTATTATACTATACTGTATATGTATATATATATACATATATATATATATATACACATAGAAATACATACTGCATGGGTTTAAAGCCTCAAGAGCATGAGGACACAGTGGCATGGGTGAGGTCCAACTTGGTGGGGATGCCGGTGGCGCAAATGCTTTTGTCCCTCGATGCCACGGTTACTGTGTGCCACTCCCACACTGCCGACCTCTCGCGACACCTTCGTGACGCTGACATCGCCCCTCGGAGGTGATCGGCTTTTTGTAGATGCTTGCTCAATGTAATGGATCTTTGTTGAGTAGATGGATCCAATGAGGATGGGCTGTTCCGGAATTTACGAAGACGGTCCCGGATTGCGGACTGGTCAACTTCAGTAAGCGGGTTGTTCTCTGAGTCTGATTGCAACTTGCCTGCCACCCATCCAAAGCACTGCTCCGGACATCTTGAGCTCACTCCCCTGAGTCCTCGGTGGCTCACACCTGAGGTTGTGGCAGCCATTGGCAATGCTGAGTTTGTGCGCGTGAGCCTCAGAGTTGGCAAAGCACAAGCGCACACGCCCCAGAAATTTTCAAACACGAAACTCAACCGGGAGTGAGATCGCGAGAGTGAGAGAAAGGGATAACGAGAGAGAGAGAGAGAGAGAGAGAGAGGGACATATGCATCATGGTTTTGCTACTCGTAGAACTCCCAAGCAATCAGCTGTCGCCTTTGGGCTGGTCCGCGCTGAGGTGGCGAATGGCTGAAGCCTGGCTGCGTGGTGATCGATGTTGGTATCAACTCGGCACCTTGGATGTGAGCTGGGTTTGAACTTTACTAGGGAATCCTTTGGTGGACATCATTTAGGCGGGATTCATGTCCACCAATCACTGGAGGTTCCCCATTGAAATTCATAGCAAATTGAGATCCCTTCTCTGCATAGACCAGTATGTGTCGCAAGCGTGCGGAGCGGTACAGGGGCGCCAACAAAGTCTTCTTTGCAAGTGGGCAGACCATGGTG